AGGGTCCTCAAATCGCGCAGCTGATGCCTTGTCTAGGCGAGATGAAGACGCGATGGCTCTGTGTGGCATTTCCCAACCCCGGATCTCTCTGTTTGACGACATTAAGAAGGCAGCACCACAGTCCCCGGAATGGTCGCTCTTGGTCCAAAAGATCCAGTCCGGCACTACCGACCCCAATTGGTCACTTCAAGACGGGTTGGTACTATATAAGGGATGAGTCCATCTTCCGCCAGACTCCCCATTGATTTCCACCATCATCACCAGCATCCATAACTCCACCCATGAAGGCGTTCAAAAAACGCTCCACCGCGTCCGGGCCGATTTCCATTGGCGAGGTATGAAGACTTCTATTCGAGATTTTGTCTAGAATTGCTCCACGTGCCAACAGCATAAATGGGAAAACCTACACCCGGCAGGCCTCCTTCAGCCCCTTTCCATTCCGACACAGATATGGGCCGACATCTCCATGGACTTCATTGAGGGACTACCCAAGGTAGGCGGCAAATCAGTTCTCTTCGTGGTAGTCGATTGCTTCTCTAAATATGCCCACTTCATTCCTCTATCACACCCGTACAGTGCCACTTCAGTTGCCCTCGCCTTCTTTACACATGTTTTTCGCTTACATGGGTTACCAGAATCAATCGTCAGTGATCGGGACCCGGTTTTCACTAGTGCCTTCTGGAAGGAGTTATTCCGGCTACACGGCACCACCCTGGCCTACTCATCAGCTTATCGGCCACAGACCGACGGTCAGACGGAAGTGGTCAACTACATAATCGAGATGTATCTTCGTTGTTTCGTAAGCGATCAACCGTGACGGTGGGTGGATTGGCTCCCTTGGGCCGAGTACTGTTACAACACAGCCTATACCATTCTTCCCTCGGCATGACTCCCTTTCGCGTCGTTTATGGCCGGGATCCTCCCCGCTTGCTGTCCTATGAGCCCGGTTCTACTCGTTTGGAAGCAATTGATCACTCCTTACAAGAACACGACGCCCTCCTAGCCAATGTCCACCTTCGCTTACAGCAGGCCCAGCTCCGCATGAAGCTTAACTATGACAAGCACCACCGGGAACTGTCGTTCGATCCAGGACAATTTGTTTGGTTAAAACTCCAGCCCTACCGGCAACGCTCCTTGTGCCACAGGGCTGCCCCGAAGCTGGCCCCTAAGTTCTATGGGCCCTTCAAGGTTCTGTGACGGATTCGCAGTGTGGCCTACCAGCTGGAATTGCCAGAGACCAGCCGGATTCATGATGTCTTCCACATCTCCTTGCTGAAGCCATTTATGGGTGCTTCTCCGGACCAAGTCCCCTCCCTGCCACCCTTGAAAGATGGCAAACTGGTTTCCCAACCTAAAGCTCTCACCCGCTCTCGTCTCAATCGTGGAATTCTTGAAGTCTTGGTGGAATGGTGTAATTTACCATCGGCCGAAGCCACATGGACCCCATTGGCAGAGTTCCACGCCACATATCCGGAGTTCGAGCTTGAGGACAAGCTCGTAGTCCAGGAGGGGAGTAATGTTATGGACGCATTCCTCGGGAAGACGTACCATCGCCGCTGGCAGCAACAGGAACCTGACCCACCGCCAGAAGCAGCAGTGATTCAATGAT